GTTCACTTGTGACGTCATAGGTCAGTGACCTGACCTGACCCAAAAATGCGGTTGGTGTCAAAAGATGCGGCTTGGATCAAAGGTCAGGTATGCCAAGTTTCAGCTCTCTATCGCCAGCGTGTTCGGAGCTATCGCGAAAAAACCCTATGGGGGGGCGGCACCCGCCCCCCCCCCTCGGCCGGCGAGGGTTAAAGTAGTTAATGGAAAATATACCTTTCTTTCTTAATCGATAACCATGTTACATTTTATACGTTCTTGTGATTATCATCCCCAACCACTTAGGTAACTCGTCATTAAAACGTTGCGTCTCAAAGCAAAAAACAAACAATAATGCATGTCTTGTGACTGCATTTTAGACAATGGTGAGAAAAGTCTGCAGAAAAGAAGTTGGACGGGCATGGAACGAGCCGTCTCAATGGGCTTTTCGTGACGATTGCCGGTGCAACCTTGAAGAGCAGGATATCCTTGAGCGTCAAGCGTGCCATTTTAAAGTCGTGCAATTAATTTACTATCATTATAAAGCCGACACAGCAGTCGGAAAGTGAGACCGGCGCAGACTTTTCGCACGGCACTTTTTCCTTTGATCCAGTTTAAACGCGATCGGTTTCAAGCTGCCAACATAAATCCAGTACACTGCTGGACGTTTATGGACTGCAGTATGTCATGCGACATGATCTCGGGATCAGTCAATGACGGAGGACCGCAACTACTGACGACAGGTAATCGATATCGTGGTCTTCGGATAACATCCTGATCTCAGACACATGGATCGCCGGTAGGTAACTATCTATCATTCCTTGATCCAGTCCGATTAACGAAATTATTTACTGGCGATTGGCGAAAAAATGAAAATCAACGTTTGACGGCAATGCAAAACTACGTAGGGGAAGGTGGGGTAAGACGGCCCAGCGGGGCAAGACGGACCACCAGCCCTCCCGGCTGAACCGCTGCTGGTATCTACTGCTTTATGCACTCACTATGTATGTTTTCCTTCGTAACAATGGCCACCTTGAGCTCATGCTGCTAGGATGCATAGCTTTTGAGTTATTGAGAAAAATGTTGTTTTTCGTCAAACCGATCTAATATAAGGGGTCTACGGGTGATTCAATTACTGCGCCTTTCTTGCATGATTAGTTTCTATTTTGCACTTAACTGTGAAGAACAAAGTTATAAACTTAGTTATAGTCACACTTTAGGAAAGGCAAGTTTTTGCAATGTTGGGCTATTTGACATATACGTCATGATAATGACAGAATTTAGAGTTGGGGCAAGACGGACCACTGTGGTCCATCTTACCCTGTGGTGGTCCATTGTACCCTGCATATGGAAATTTCTTTTCCAAAACATTGACACATGTTTAAGTAAGCTAATTTTTCAGGAAGGAGTCTTTGTTGCATGTGAGCCATGCATGCAAGTGCTCAGATAGCATGCATTCATGCCAAACGACAATCAACACCCATGTTCCCAGCTTTTAGCTGCACTTCCATCACACATGAGTAAAGAATAAAGGCTCATTTTGTTATTTTACCATTCTGGTTACTTTTTCTTACAAGAGTACAGAGCAGAAGTGTAACACACATGAACGGATAGCAGGCACTGCTGGGTGGTCCGTCTTACCCCACGTTTTTTCTTGTCTGAGTTTTTGACATGTCCCTCTTTAAGAGCATCCACCACCTAGATGTCTTTAATTTGAAATTTAGTCTTTACACATATCAACAGAGGAAGGATTGAGCATTCCGAAGACTATAAATTATATGAATTACGAGAGCAGTGTAGCAAGATATGTGGCCTCAAAGCTTAGCTGGTCCGTCTTACCCCACCTTCCCCTACCGTGTGCTTTTACATACTGAAGTTTCCATTATTTGCTGACCAAAGGTTGTCTCAGTCAGATAGTGGCCTGAGTCCTGACTCACCAGAGCAGGCAGCCATTCTTACTTCAAAACTAACACAGCCATCGCTTGGATGAATAATTCGGGGTTAAATGAAGTCGTAGGGGTTGAAAAGTGGGACCTGTGACTGAGCATCCTGTAACTTCATAAAAATGCAAACGTCAATTTCGTTAAAGGTAGATTATGACCTTTTCCCACTTTATTGGAGTTGGGACCATTTTTTAGTAGAAAATGTATAAATATAATGTAAATTCATTGCATTTTGCCGAAATCCCAAAATTACCATGTTTTTTAACCCTCGCCCCGGCAGGGCATTTTTCATAACACGGCCTGGCAGGGGGGGTCGATGCGATCCCCCCTCGCGATTGGCTCCTATGGCACCTAGAAACACCAAATTTGGTAGGTAGGTGGGCCCCCTGGAGTTCTCGCCCCTGTGCAAATTTGGTTGCTCTAGGTCAATATTTAGGGGGGTTTTGGGGGGTATAAATGCAAAAATTTCGCTAAAAACAGGTCAAAAGTTTTTCGCTTATAACTTTTGATCTAATTAAGATAAAGCAAAAAGAAAAGCACCAGTGAACTCAGCACGTCAAGGCGCGTCGAATGATATACTTTTTAGCTTGCTTAAGTGTACTTAAAGTTTTTCTTAAATCTTAAGTAAACTTAAATTTATAAATTAAGTTTAAGTTAACCAAATTGCATCATATTGCATATCATTCGATTCGGCTGATCACCAGGAACACAATGATACCATTTTTTAAGCTCTAGCGTCATTATGTGCCAAGTTATTGGCAAAAACGTCATTTGACCTCAGTTGACCTCATTTGACCTGACCCATGGATAAGTACACCAAACAAAGAAGCACCAAGTGACCTGCTGTTAAGTACTGTGGTTTCAAAGCACAAAAGTGATGAAACGAAGCAGATATCTCCAGTATTTTCCGAATTTAGTATTTTCCCATAGGCTTAACATTACGTCGTAATGACCTCTAACTGACCTCAGGTCAGTGACCTCAAAAAACCCGAACTACAGGGTGGGGCAGCATAATCGGGAATGCTTTTTGGGCTCTGGTCATGAGTAGGCATGGCATTATTTTGATAAATTATATCATGGCAATGAAACGCCCAAAAGTTGTGCATCATCTGACATGACTACATCCATGAGCATGCAACTTCCTGGAAAAGAGCAGCAAAATAGTTCGACGGTGCTCCAAGTGCTTTGCGCGCGCCCATAGACACTAATGTTAAACGAGTAAAACAAGAACATTTTGTTTAAAACAATGCCATTCCACGTAAAGGTTGCTGGACAGGTCAACGTGTTATCACGGACGATAAGGATTGTGTGGGGATACTTAGGACAAAAAGTTAACGTAATCATCGTAAAATAACTCTTAGCAGAGGACATACAAGATGACTCACTTGAATATAAGGAAGAAGCTCTTGAGCATATTAAAAAGAAACAATGTTCAAAACTTCAGCGACCAAAAATCTTATCACCGACTGGAATACGATAAAAAAGAATGGCATGCCATATAGGGGATTGTATCGAGAATATTGCAGCGGTCATGCAAAGTAAACATCCTGTTGAGGTGATGGACCTATGGGTGGTCTTCAAGGGAGGTGCACGTGGTGCACCCTACTTCATCGAGCCCGGATAAAACGAGCACCTCTGGTAAATACATCCACACTCTGGCAGACTCACGTGGAGTCGTCGGAAGAGAGGATCACTGACGGTCCAGATCACGTCTTACGAGGACTCTGTCCGTGCTGGTACTGCAGTGAGGACGACATGTTATTGTGTAGGGCACCTCCACCTGAGATGAACCAAAAACTTCTGGTCCTTCAACTCCGCCGATTTAAATCCGACCAAATTCTTTATATGGAGCGTTTTTTGGTAGAAGTTTAATGAACAACTTATCATCAGTAAAAACGGTCTTCAGTGCAAGGTACGAAGCTGATGGGCGATCATGGACAAGCAGGAGGCTGCACGTGCATGCGCGTGCTTTTGGACCCGCCTTGAGAAGGTCATCGACGCGAAGGGCGGTCAAATAGGATGAGGGATAGGTAAAAGGTGACCGATTGATGGGATGTTGTTAAAATAGTGCTTGGAGCTATATTTTTAAATTCATGACCAAATAATCCCGTTTGATATTTATTCCCGATTATGCTGCCCCACCCTGTATATGCTATACAACTCGGTGAACTTAGCACATCCTGAAAGTTTGAAGGAAATCAGTCCAAAACTGTGAGTTGGACAGGTGCAAAAAGAAAATTGAAATTTGACCATGACCTTGTACCGGTTTTTCTGACCTGGTGACCTGACCCTAGGTCACTCGGACCTGAAATTTTCAGGTCGTTTTTACGCTATCTTCGACAAACCTTAGGGGGGGTCGCATCGACCCCCCCCCCCCTGCCAGGGCGAGGGTTAAGTTAGCTCAAGCGCTCCGCGCTTGGTAGTGATGGGTGAGCAAGTACTTGCAGGTTTAAGTAAAATCGGTGAGTAAAAATAAATCAATATTTGAATTTTTTAGTACCACTAAAAATAAGTCAGTATGTCAAAAGATTCTTGTGATATATTGATACAAATACATTACCTTTCTTAGAATATCAGTGAGTCAAAATACCTACATGTGTACCGGATGACATAAATTTCGTAGCTGCGTTCCATCTGATTTGAATGGCCGCAATAACGCACGGCTATGGGAATAACGCGTCGTTGTTTGAAACAAAAGCGCCGTACACTACGACTTTTTGAAAGAGAAGGACAAAACATTTCAGTGGGTTTTGCAAGTACTGCAAGTATTGCTTATTTTTTTAAAAAATAAAAACAGCTTTCACATACGAAAATGTGCAAGGAAATTTTTATCTTTTTAATAAACTGCAGTAAAAATAACATGAAGGTCGAATAATTTTTATTTAAGAAAAAAGAAAGCTCATTATCTCCCTTTAATCCTCAGTGAAGTCGTCTCGCATTGGAGGTTGGTGAAACTATTGAGCATTAAGTAGCACATGTCCTACTATTTTACGCGTATGTACTTAACTTAATGAAGGCTTCTGACTTTTGTTTGTCATCCTACTCCTGACTTTGCTTTCTCCCAGTCCGCAGAAAAGAGCATTATGTTCTTTGACATATACATACACGTGTATTTGCAGCAGCACGGTTCACGTAGACGCACACTGGCCATCGCCCATTCTTGGGCTATGACTGATTAAAGACGCTCCGCGGCTGCCCGCGCACGGGTAGTCGAAAGGTCCCACCATCGACAGAACAATGCGCCGCTCTGTCCCGCTCCCACTAAAACAATGCGATACATTTACAAGATGAATGTGTACAACTGCAGTGAAGGCGCCCGGGCCCGGGAGGCGGCGGCGACGGCGCGGCCCATTGTGATCGGACGTGCTCAGCCGGCCGACATCGAGCCGACTGACGAGAGCTGACGGACGGATGAACGTGACAGTTCGCGACAGCCGCCTTCAAGGCTCGATGATTCAGGCGAATCATTTGTTTGATTTTGGCAGGCCCAACTTTGAGACGACAGAGGCCGGCGACCTGTCGGAGTTGCCAAATCATCGGCAGCTATCGAATTAGCACGGCCTGCCGAAGTGAGGTCACCACTCCCTGCGAGGCGCGGCAGGCGGATCGCGTCCGAGAGTACCGCGGCCCGATGCGGCCTCACGATCCGTCAACAGCACAACTGGAGCCACAGTCAACACCGCCGCTCTCCCGGGTCAGACAGTCTCCACACACAACGACAACGCGCAAACATCACAGCCTCTGCTCAGATAAATACCATAACACATCATCTTTGGTTTGCTCGTAACGCCTCGTGACGCCATGTGACGTTAACGTCACACTGCGCCCACGTCACAGTCACAGTCCGCTCACCGGCGCGCGTGTGATATCACAAAGAGAGGCGCCATCCGCGCCGCGGCCACCGCCTTGCCCGGTGGTCGGAGGACACCGTCCACAGTCCGGTTCCTCGCCAGGAGGTTCCTCACGCGGCACTCCCGGCGGCCCTCCTCCAGCGGCAGCAGGTACTCGGCACTCCTCCGCCGCCGCTCGTGGCACGCCAGCGCGCAGCAGCCGACCACGGCGGCGGCCAGACACGCCAGCCCGACGGCGCCGACGGCGAGAGTCGCTGCCGACGGGGCCGCGAGCTTCTCCGCCGGCAGCGGCGTCTTGGTGCTGACGAACAGCGGCTCGCTGGCGTCGTCACCGTTGAACACCTGCCGAAAATAGCACGCGTGTTAGCTCAAGGATGGAGAGAGACAATGCACAATGACGGGCAGTTCACACCTGGCTTCGACAATGACGACCGAAATCACCCGAATGAACGGATAAATCTGGAGCTAGACACCTAACCCGAATCTACTGCATCATTTCTAGAAACGCTGACGTAACTGTCACTGCACACTAAGAACCCATCGCATTTTTAGTTCTGTCTTTGCTTTCCCCGCCACATCATGTCATGGCATCGCTGTGCCGCCTCCGGTTCGGCGAAGACCTGAGTCACCAGGCGGCCTGCACTGTCGGAGGTCTGCAGCCGCCACACGAGCGGGGGTCGCTCCCACGCCTGGCTCAGTCCGCACGCGAGGCTCACCTGCACCACGTAGTCCTCGTCCGGCCACAGAGACAGGCTGACGCGGGGCTCCTCGGAGACCAGGTGGCCCCGCAGGCCGCCAGAGCGCAGCTCCCAGGTCACCAGGTAGGAGGCGTCCTGGCCGCGCGCCCGCCAGGTCAGGGTCGCAGAGACCAGCGGTGAGCCGGGCTCGATGGACGAGAGCAGCGGACGCCACCGAGCCTGTGTGCAGAGGAGAGTGTCAGTCACAGAGAAAGTGGAATATATTACAGAAAAATGTCCGAACTAGTGTGGGAACGCAGTGGGTTAGGAGTGTCCTGCGCGAAATTCATCAGATGAAGATCCTCATCGGATATCGCGCACAGAAAATACACAACTGTGAGCCGCATAATCCATGGACGATTGTTATGAACCGCCTCCCACATTCTCCCAGCCCTTTATTCCCAGCGCGGCGTTAACGAGGTGCCTCCCCTTCTTCCCTCCCAGTCCCGGCACCCTCCCCCTCCCACCCAGACATCGCTGTGACTCAGGCGAACAGGTAGGTCCCAGATCGCTATCCCCGCGGGCCCGGCCGGCAGGAGATGCGTATCTCCACCTGAGGTCGCGCGCCTCAGTGGACACCCGATCCCCGCCCGGCGCCCCCGATAGGCATCACCGCCCAGAAAGGGTCGCGACGGCCACAAAAACACACACCGGCCGCGGGAAACAAAGGTCGACTCAGCCGGGGCGACATGGGACAAAGCGAGACAATGGCGGCGCACGAGACGACGCTCAGCGAGAGGCGCGAGACGAAATGGTGCGCGGCGGTGGTGACAGGACTCGGGGGCGTGATCTGGGTATCACCTCCCCTCTTTTCTCCGTCCACCATTGAGTATCATCGCCCTTCCCTCTTCTTCTTTCTCCGCCTATCACCTGAGTATCATTAGCCTTCCCCTAACCTCATTTTTTACAGCCCGTCCTCAAAGCAGCAAAGTAGAACCGGCATCCCAAGAGAGTTGCGCTGGCGCATGTATTACGTAAACGTTTTACCCTGGCCTCGTTCAACATCAAGCCCTGCGTGACCTACACACTACCGAACACCCAGTACACACCTTGTGGTCCTGCAGGCCAGAGCTGGACGTCTTCTTATGAGGCTCCGAGGGAAACGAGGGAGGCGGGCCGTACAGAAGGCTCTCCTGCGCACTGTCCGCGGATGCTGGGGATGTTACTTTCGGCCCTGACACAGTGGTCGTCGCCTCAGGCGCCGCCTCGGTCGATGTCTGGACGGCCGGGTTCAGCTCCGTGGTGACAGACGCCGAGGTCAGGTAGAAGTCACACGCCTGTCGACACCCGGCGGACTGGAACGGACAGACGGCGCGGTCAGTTAGCTGGCGAGGTCCGATCCAAACGTCAGGGAGTCGGACACAGGCAGGCGGTCGACGCCAACTACCACGATCGCTCGATAAATTCACTAAAACGGGCCCAGCTGATACCAATTAACATCAACTAACGGGTGTTTTCGTTGGCCGCTCTGGATGGCAGGGATTAAAATCGACACAGCTGGTTGGAATATGTGAATGCCATCGGCGGCAGATGAGATAATGTGTTACGAGTACGTTTCCAAACAATCTCCGACACAAAAGCATCATGATTTCATTTGATAGTTTGCCCTAGGGCCTAGGTCATCACTCTTGAGACGTCACATTTACGGGATACTCACGCAGGCTTTGTTGAGTTTGCAGTACTCGCGGATGTAGTGGTCCCTCTGGAACGCCTGGCACGACGCCCAACACTGAAAGGAGAAGACGACCATCAGTCAGAAGAGGCCCAGTCAGCAGGCCATGAATCAACGACAGAGCCCCGGCTCTTCCCGCACAGCGCGACTGACTGCGACGGCAGTAAACCAACACGACCCATTCCATCAGCGCGCGCCGTCCAATTCATTCCCAGATCGGTTCCAGTCCGAAATAAAGCACTCCATTTCCCGTTGCTCATCTCGGCCTGTCGGCCCGCGGGTTGGGACCGGTCGTCACCGCTGACAAACGCTGCCGCTAGCCCGAGAGAGAGAGAGGACTGTGCGGCGCGCCGGGCGAGGAGCGGTCGCGTCAGCCCCGGTCTGTGGTGGCTGGAGCAGATCGGAGCCACTAAGCTGGTCTAGACTGGGTCGAGGTCGGGTTCAGTGGGTCCGGGCTGTGTTTGGGAGTGATCAGGGTCTGGTGCAGTCTGGTCAGAGGCTGGTCTAAGGCAGGTCAGATTGGTCCAAAGACCGAGCCAGGCGAGATTGGTCCTGGCCAGGCCAGATGGATAGGTGCCGGTCCAGGTCTGCTCCCGAGCGATCTGTTTGTCACCGCCGCGCCGTTTGTGCCGCCGCCGGAGGCCGGCTCCATTCTCCGGCGGCCAGCTCCATTCTCCGGCGGCCGCACGCACGGCGGCCCGAATTAATCCCCGTCGCCGGCCGAATGGCGCGCTCCGGGCCCTGAGTCGGCAGTTCTGGCATCAAAAACGATTTAGGCCCGGCCAGGTAAGGCCCATTGACGGCCGTGGCGCGGCCGGTGGACGGCCACAAAGGCAGCATTTCACGGCCTGGCGCGCCGGCAGCGGCGGCGGCCGGGGGCGGCATTGTGGCCCGCGGACCGCCGCCGGGCAGGGTCTCAGCCCGCGCCGTCAGCAGGCCACTGATGGTGTGTGAAATTCGCCGACCGGCCGGCTCACCCCTCGCCGTGTGATCAGCAGGCCCTGATCGCGCCGCCGACCGGAAAATGGCCACAAAGGGAACAGTGGCCCCACCGGCCGGCCGCCGCTCCACCGGCCGCCACAAACACCCGGGAAAGAGAGAGCGCCAATCGGCTCTGATGATACGCACATCCGCTACCGGCACCCTGATGGATTGTGGTGAGTGCCGCCGGCGCGGCAGTCACCTGGCCGCCCGTGGGACGGGGCGGGGGCGGGGGCGGGGGCGGGGGCGGTCAAGGGGCAGAGAAAGGTCCGGCCGCTCGGCAGCCGCAGAGAACGCCCGAACGCGCGCAGATGGGAGATAACCGGGCGAGGTGTTGACACGGCAGATGCGATCTGCCCAAGGTGTGAGGTATGCGGTTTATCTCAGCCGATTGAAAGGGTTCCCCGGGTTTTGAGGAGGCTTATCTCCGCCTGCGGACGGGGTGGATCGATCGCTCGGTGATTGGGGAGGTCGCGGGCGTCTCTCACTCACCCGAAGGCATTCCTCCTGTTTGAGACAGCTGGCCTTTGAGCCGTCCGAAGTCAGCTGAAACAGAGAGAAAGGGACGTCAGTTCGGCGGCCCGGTCGGTTCCAACAGCGTATCAGGCATGGAAACAATGCTAATCACGGGCTATCGAGCTGGGCAGCACCGGTCGAATGGTCTCTTAGCGAGCCCTTAATTATAACACCAGCAGCGGCACCGGGGCGGTCTCACACCCCTCGGCAGGCCAGTCTCCACGGGTAATGACACCGTCTCTAAGCGAATGGAGCCACCCGTCGGCAGTTCCTGCAGTAAAAACAGCAATTACGGGGTTCGATTGGGGCGTCCGGCGGGTCGGGGGCGGCCAACCGTTTGGCAGAGACCCACACCCACACTGAAAGAAAAAATGACACCCTGTACGGGGTATTGACGGTCATGTCAAAAATAACACCCGAGTGGGGTGTTTTGAGGGGAGTCGCTGAGCTATTATAAATGGGGTGTTCGGCGTACACCCCAGAAGGGTTTCGACGCATAGTGGGGAGTCGCAGCCGCTAAAGGGGGGTCAGCGCCGGCCCACATGGGGTTCCGTTAGACTGCAGGTGACACCCCTCAAATATCAGCCGAGCACCCCTTTTTGGTCCCTAAGCACCCGACAGGGTATCAAACTCCCAAATTAGGGTGTAAAATATAGCAGCTCAACTCCCCTATTTTTCTGATTTAACTCCCCATATTGTTCCTGACCCCCACGCGGGGAACCGCGCGCCTTCAGCAGGTAATCTCTCAGAGAAGTTTCACTCCCCTATACTTCCGAAAAACTCCCGGCGAGGATTAAATGTCCTTCGGAACGAGAATCTCAGACTATATTTATAACCGGGTGAGGAGTTACTCTTTCCGTTCGCGGCCTTGCGGCGCCCTGTAGTGTGCACGACCAACGTATGACACGGTAATCAGTCTAGATATCATCATGATATAGTTGGCCACTCTACGCTATGCACGCTTTTGCCTTAGCTGCAAACATGCACCAGCCATTCGTGAAAAACAGGTCCCGATTTTACCAACTTTAGTTTGCGCCATCTATCGGTAGGATTTGAAGCTGAAAACACGGGGTGTCACTCCAGGATAATGACACCCCAGAGGGGTTTCAACGGGGGTGTCTCAGCGACACTCCAATTTTTTGGCCTGCAATTTTTGGGGAGTTCGCTAGCCGAACCTCTCCCAAGGGGGTCATGTACATTTTTGCGGCGTCAAAAGGTAATGGGGCTCCCGTGTCGGGTGTCACAACACCCATGACATCCTAAAATCATGAAAACGGAGCCTAATTTAGGAGTATTTTGGAGTATGTGGTGTCAGATTGTAAGAAATGGGGTTCCCCGATTTTTTTCAGTGCAGGCGTCCGGCCGGCCCCCGCGAATTAGCCAAACTCCGCCTCAAAGGGCGGCGTTTAGCGACTGCGGGGCACAGCGCGAAAACAGGATAATCTATTCACGCGGGCGCGGCCGGCGGCGGCTCGGGTCTGCCGGGGTGCCGAGGAGCAGCTGTCGACAGCGGGAGCCGCCGCGCGCGAGACCGATCGGACGTTTACGTCTCTGTCGTTATTTTTATCGTTTCACGGCTGTTGGCCGGCGCGTGGGTAGGGTGGTGGATAGAGGTCAGCCTTCTGCTGATGGGATTTGGGGGTGTCGCAGATAGTTGGTAGGGCCGACGCGGTTCCTGTGACGCCTAACGTCTCTGTCGCCCCGTCCACACGTCTACTTCCAATAGGATCGTTATCACTCACTAAAGCAGGCTATACCGGAGACGACCGGACTATGCAAGGCCATGAGCAGGCGATAATGGAGACGACCGGACTATGCAAGGCCATAAGCAGGCAATACCGGAGACGACCGGACTATGCAAAGGCCATGAGCAGGCGATACCGGAGACGACCGGACTATGCAAGGCCATGAGCAGGCGATACCGGAGACGACCGAACTATGCAAGGTCATAAGCAGGCTATACCGGAGACGACCGGACTATGCAAGGTCATAAGCAGGCTATACCGGAGACGACCGGACTATGCAAGGCCATAAGCAGGCGATACCGGAGACGACCGGCTCATAATCAAGCTCTGCATTGAAACGACATCATTGAGACACTTGTTATTAAACTTGAGATAAAAAGCCAGTTTGACTCAGCAGGTTAAAGTCGGTATGACTGGGGTAAGACATAAGCGGAAAGCAGCTCCGTATAGCATTGCCTTCGTAACGTTGTCTTCGTATACGAAGACAACGATTGCATTGCTAGAGGCGTGACGCAAAAACCGTCAAGTGACACACCCGGATAATGCATGTAGTTTGAGAGAAAACTCTGTCTGGGGGCTCAAACATAGCTCTGGTATTGCAGCCGGCATTCGGCAGTACCGGGAACGACGGGAGCATAAGCGAGCTATATATACTGAGCTGATGAGTTACTGAATTTGAGAGATGCTATGCTCTACTGGACATTTCATTACTTTAATAATTTGTTTGAGATATTTAAGATATCGAGTGCAAATTATCCTATGTGCTTCTAACGAGGTATTACGCATTGGGCTATGGAAACGGCCGGGAGATACCTACGTACTAATTTCTCCGACGGCTGCACCGGAGACGACCGGAGCCGAGACTGCACTAAGCCGACAACGCAGCTGTGAAATGTGTTACGGAAATTTGACCAGTAGTACGTATTTTATTGGTTTGCCATTAACAAGGCGGCAGCACCGGAGTCGACCGGAGCCTATGCTAGCTCGACCCTTTTATTGGTTTGCCATTAACAAGGCGGCAGCACCGGAGTCGACCGGAGCCTATGCTAGCTCGACCCTGAGACGACAACGCTTTGAACGCGCGCTCGACTCAAACGCAGCGCTAGCTGAATATGCTACTGAAATTTGACCAGTATTTTACTGGTTTGCCATTAACAAGGCGGCAGCACCGGACTCGGGTGCGACCGTAGCATAAACAAGTTATTCATATACTTATATATATACTTATATATATACTGATAATATGCACTGAGCCGACAACGCAGCTGTGATGCCTATAAACGACGGAAAAGTCGCAAATAGTGCAGCCTTTTCTTTACATAGTCTGCCGTTTAATACGAAGAACCGGCAATGCCGATAAAATGACCGGACAAACAAGCCAACTTGTGTTACCTAAAAATGTGGTATGTGGCGTGCCAACATGGCGTACTCTAAGTAATAGCCGGTAACACTTGGCATGGCCGGAGAAAAATCCAACATGTCCTGAGCCAGTGCAATTGAGAGGCCTTTATGCTACTGTCTCATGCCAGAAAACGCAGCATTTAATGCGTCAGGCTGCCCTGTGTGCCGGAGACAACCGGAACTTGACTACTAATGGAATAATATTGCCAAGTGACGCGTACTTCTGCTCATTTCTGCTCGTTAGAGAAAAAAAGCAAACCATAGACGCACGGGGCACGCGTTAAGCGAGCCCTGTACTGAGGCAGCAATGCATAATGAGTCGTGTTACCCAAGGCTACTTTGTGTTACCAGAGTTTTATTATTTTTTTTTTATTTTGCAAAACGCCCGGAGACGACCGAGATTGAGGCAAGCGATGCACTGAGACGCCAATGCAGCGGTGGAAAAGCTCATATGTACTAATCCATCGCAAAATTTTCATGCCAGGCTGCTGTAATAGCTGTAGTGATGTAGCTGTAAGTTATTTGTCCATCACTCACTTATGTATCTGCGTCCGAATCTGGTCAATGCGAATCGCCTCATGCGGGAGAGAGGTCAGTAGGTCAATGCCCCGGGGGCCCAGTGGGCAGGTCGGCCGGACTAGTGTCCGGGCCGCGCCGGCCAGGCACCAGACGCCGATAAATGCCCCGAGGCATGAGCAGCTGATGCGGCTGGCGACCGTCCACGGCACAGACGGGGAAGGAAACCGGTAGGCGGGGACGGAATTAGACCGTCCCATGCAGCTCAAAACTCAGCGAGAAGTTAGATTTTGCTTGATTGGTGCTACCTATAGGTACTTAGGTAATTTACAAACGAGCCTCCTAAAATGCGAAAATCATGCTGCTAGACCGGAGGTTGACGAGGTAGACCGGAGGGCCGAGAATATTGCGCGCACAGCACAGACTGTCAAGCTCGCACGTAACGCGAAACATTAAGATGTCATCAGCGATGAAACCAGTCAGACTTGGAAAGTCAAGTCCAAGCAAAGAATCTAGATGCAATATCTGCTGATCGGCAATGCGGCCGCAAAGGTATCGACATAGTTATCACTAATGCGATCTCCAAGACACCTCACCTCCAGTGCTGTCAAGCAGCAGCAGTGTCGAAAAAAACACGACACGTCACGAAAAGCAGGAAGCGCCGCGCTCAGCCCACGGCTCAGTGGCTGACTGCTCTCGGCGGCGCTGCGAGCGCGAATGACCCGGGCTCGGGTCATGCGGACCTGACGAGCGGGCGGTATGACGCAATCACATGGGCGGCGCTCGCCCTCACCGCGGAGAAAAAACATTATCAGTTGACTTATAATGTTACATTTATCGTTTCACGGCTGTTGGCCGGCGCGTGGGTAGGGTGGTGGATAGAGGTCAGCCTTCTGCTGATGGGATTTGGGGGTGTCGCAGATAGTTGGTAGGGCCGACGCGGTTCCTGTGACGCCTAACGTCTCTGTCGCCCCGTCCACACGTCTACTTCCAATAGGATCGTTATCACTCACTAAAGACCCAATGAAGCCTTTTAAATCGAGTGATATTAGAGCTTATTAGATTGGTGGTGTGGTTTTGCTTTACGAAGGGAAATTAAAGAAGTGAAAAGGGACAACTTTTACACAACCCAAGGTCCGATGAATTAAAATTATCGCTTTAAGACTGTCACCTTTCACAGCTTCCACAAACGGGGTAACTAGTTACAATTCGTGCTGACTTGCGAGTGGGTGAAAAACAGCGCCCACTAAAAGCGACAAATTGGCTCCATTTTAGATCAAAGATTACCAACGTGACACATTGGGGCCGAATTGCTTTCGAATGTATCCACCCGGTAAGGCCATTAGAAAAGTCCGGTTAAGGCGATTCAGGTGAAAAGATGGGACCGCGGACAGGCGATTTCTGAGTTCTAAAAACGCAGTTTCACGAATGGCTGGTGGCTCGTACCAGACTGAGGTTCGGTGCTCAGTGTGGTAGCCTGTTAACAGCACTGGATCACGATAATTCGTGTAGCCTTCCGTTTAACTCTGAGACATGTTCAGTGTTCACGGATGCGATCTTTCAGCCAGGAACAAACTAATATGGTGCTAAGCTGCTGACATTGGCTTCCCATTAAAAGCCCCCTAATCACTCTAACAATAAGACGACGGTCACTTCTCGTGGCCGTGTAATCGCAGGTGAGATCAGCAGGCTGCTATTAAACAAATAATCACCCGGTTACCGTCTGAGCGCACCGCAGAGCAGGGAACAGGCGCGATCACTCCATCACGACCCCCTCGGCCGCCGTCTCGGCACAGCTGCGGCCGCTTCATCCCCGAACCACGCACTGTGCAGGGCTATCCAACCTTATTGCAGTCTGCGGCGACTCACAGCACGGCATCCTTCGCTCAGAACAGACTCACGGCGGAATCACGGCGACTCTACGACGTTTCAGTGCAGGCTCACGGGAGATTCACGGTGAGATCAAGACGAACTAACGGCACACTCACGACGACTTCCGATCGGCTCACGGCGGGCTCACAGGAAGCGTGTGAGCCGAGACGCTATCGGTGTCCGTCGTGAGCGCTCCTCGGAAGCGTCACACGGGAAGGGCTCCGGCGCGAGCCGACGCCAACGGCTGCCGTGAGAACGGCGCGGAGTAACGACCGGACCGCACAGCGTGACGTGACGTGACGTCGCGCACCGGTCCGCTAAATCTGGAGCCGGCAGCAGCCCGCGGTCTGAAGCCGGCAGCTGCCCGCGACTAGCGCGCATCAATCAGCAACGCCCACGGATAGAACAGGCGCCATCAATCCCCAATCATGTCCACTGAACTGCAAATATTGCCGATCCATCTTGGACGACTACTTAAAAGCCTATAAGCATGCCACCGATGATGGTAACGACGCCGGCCGCGCGGCGCCTGGTGAGCTAAGACGCCGCGCGCCGAGGGGCTCACGCCGCTTTACACCGGGTACATGGCCGTACGTTTCGTTTATGTGCACGTGAGAGGTGGTGGTTTTTCACGGCGCCCGCTCGGAGGACACGGACAGCGTTGCACGGCTCTGGGCCGGGCTGCAGCGCCGGGTCGCGGTGACCCGCTCCGCACCGGCTCAGGTCAGCCAGTCACCCGACGGGGGAGGCGCATCACCACATTGCCGCCCGGCGGGGGTCGGCGCCCCCCGGCCGGCGCGCGCACGTAAAGTAAATCTTGCCGTGTCGAAGCGCCGCGAAACGAGCGCTCTCGTCACCCACTGACCCTAACCTCGCGCCCCGGTGACGTCATCGTTCGTCTGCAACGTGCCTGGTCACGTGATGGGCCACCCCACCCACCGTTCGGCGCCTCGCGTGAGCACGTGACTGGCAGCTCGCCGCCCATCTGGCCGCTGCTGGAATGCGCGGCGTGCGGCTCTCGCCGGTCCGCGGGCCATCTCGGCGGCCGCCGCTGACCAAGAGGCACATTCCGTCGGACGGGCCGTCGACAGGCTCAGCAGCTGATTAATCGCAGCGCCGGCCGCAGCCCGCCGGGGAGCATCGATCACGGCGGCGCGCTGGTGCGCCACCTCTCCGCGCCTGCCGGGGAGCTGGCGTCACCCGATCGGAGCGGCCCGGAGCGGTCCGGAGCCGACACCCCACTCCCTCCCCGGGAGACGGTCCGGAGCGGCCCGGAGAAGGGCCGGAGAAGGGCCGGAGACGGTCCGGAGAAGGGCCGGAGAAGGTCCGGAGAAGGGCCGGAGGCCGACCTCGCCGTGTCGTCCCTCCGTCCCTGCCGGCTCGGTTCGGCGCGGCGCCGGCCCCCACTGATGGATGGCGCAGATAGCATCACCAGACGGAAAGGGGTGGGCCAGGGGAGGGACCACGCCGCGGGAGGCCACGCGCGAAAAACGAACGGACACAGACCGGGCCGGACCGGGCCGGGCCGAATTTCGGCCAGCGTCCGGCCGTCATACATCACGGCAGTTTCGTCTGTCACATGAATCCGTCACAGGGGACGATATGTCACAGACACGCGTCCGTCAAAGATGGACGCACTCCCAATTCGTCACGCAGAATCTGCCGAGCGAGCGAGCCGTCAGTCAGCGCGGTCTCCGACGGCCGCGACGAACGACGACCGTCGGGGTCGACACCACGTCGGTGGGTGATCTGGGTCGACGCGACGTGCCTCCGAGGGTGGTCCCGACGGAGATCGTCGCAGTCCCGTCACCAGAGTCGACACTAACGAGAGACGAGGCGCCGAGTGATTCTGGCAGATAGGGCGGCCGCGAGAGAGCCAGGACGTCGAAAATGTGACAGACGACAAGACGATGGAATAGGCGAGACGACACGGTGACGCAAAGTAGCTATGCGTGAAGTGTTTAGCGCGGCTGGGGATGCGCCAGAGGAGATGACTTGGACAGAAGGAAATCGATCGGCGTCGCTGCTAAATGGCGAACCGCTTTGAGGGAAATGGATCTTCGGACAGTGATGACTCAAGCGGTAAATGAAATTTCACGACAAACAGAGAGAGTGGCAGCTGCAAATTCCAAGCTGTTTCCCGGACACCGAGTGAAGTAACGTCAGTCCGGCATAAATACCTACACACAGACAGACTGGCCGACATCTCCCCCGGGCCCCTAAACATTCAGAAACATCTGAGAATTCAGCGGCGGTGTTCCTCATGCTCCTCTGTCGATTACCGATACTGCCTCCCCGAGGGACCCGTCTCGGATCATCTCACGGCTGATGTCACTCGAGAGACAGACAGGGACGGGCGCGCCGCTAACCGGGACGGAAAAGGAAAATAACCAGGGCGGCGGGGTGCGGCCGGCGGAGCTATGCCGAGCGGCTGTCGGGACTGTTTGGGGCGGCCTCTGAGACAGGGAGGGCAGGCTGTGTTTGTTGCTGTAACCGGGTGTCGGAGGCGGCAGTCGGAGGGAGACAACGGCGGCCCGTGTGATGCCGCTCCGACTCTCCGACTGACTCCCAGTCAGCCGGCGCCGGATCATGGATCATGGGACATGGGACATCAACATCGTCTTCCCTGCCCCCGTCCCGCCTCTGTTCGGACTGCCACCATGTCAACACACTCCCCCTCTCTCCCTACCATCCCTGCTTCAAGCTGTCGGTTGCTCGATAGAGCTCTGTCTCTCGACTCTCGGTCGCCGCTCGCCGTTCTCTCTCGGCCGCCTCCAGCGGCGGCGCCATGACTCGCCGCGGTGGCAGCTGCCGAGCCCGTCTGAATGGAGCCCGGCCGAGCGGCGCCAATGGCCGTCACAGCGCGTCACGCGCGTGACGCCGGCCCGGCGGGCGTTACTTCCGGCCGTCACGGGCCAGCCGGCGACCGGTGGCGGCCGGTGGCTCCCACGGAACCGTCCGGGAAGCGCCGGGAACCGGCCGGCTCCCATGTGCAACTTCCGCGCTCGGTGGGAGCCGGCCTGCGCCGGCTCCCAGCCGTAACGGGCGAACGGTTGGCGTCCCACCGGCCGCCGCGGCGGAGCGACTCTCCCAGCGCGGCGCCGGCGTGGGCACCGGCCGTGTACTACAGCGGGCACGGGCTCTCCCAGCGGCTCGTCCGCTAACGACCGGCGAGCGGCCGGCCGTGCGGTTTACCGGCAAGAAGCCGGCGCGGTCACAGCGCGCCGCTTTCCCAGACCTCGGCGCCGCGCTTCTCGTTTTTGCGTTATAAACACAACTCGGATCGTTCCCCTCTGGCGGAAGAGAAAATTGCGCCGACTCCGCGCCCGGCTACGTGCCCCATCGAGGCACCTGTTCCGTGGCCGGCGTGACGCGGCCACCACAGCCAGCTGTACCGCCACCACAACCACACGGAAACCCTGCAACTCAGCCCGGCAAAACTGCCGGTAAAAAGGACACACCATGAGCGCTGACGTCGGTCCACCGGTTTCCTGCGCAGCGCCGCTGAAAAGTGCGGCTCTGAACCCATTCAGCCGGCGATCTTTAAGCCGATAGCGTTTCATCGGCTCGGCACGGCCGAACAAAGCCGCCGCAGCCGGTGGCTCGCAGGCCTCAGGAGGTGGCGTGGTCGCGGAGCCTCGCACCGGTTCGCCGACGCGTTACGTCAGCCCCGGGTACAACTTTCCGGCGAACGGCGCTCCGCGCGAGCGGCCGCTTTGGAGGCCGGCAGGCGACAGGGAAAAGGGTGGCTATAGGCGAACGAAATCAGAGCTAGATGTCGAGATAAGGACTCGTCTCGCGTATAAATGACGGGAAAACTGGCGCAGTAACGCCGTCCAACCGAAACGTGCATGGACGGATTGATGTTATCCATATGTGCGAGGCATTGACATTGTCAGCATCGACTTCAGCGAAACGACGCCGTTGTGGCGGCCGTTCGAAAATTATGGTAGC